GATAACCCCATCTACACCATGGGAGTTTAGAATACCAATAGCAATGATACAGCCTACCCTTATAGGGCCAGAGATGCAAAAAAAAAAAAAAAAACAGTGATTTCAAGAATGCCATTGCCCTTTTCCCTTCAGACAACAGTCTCCCTTTTCCCCTGAGAAGGAACAAAACTGCTCATCTGTGGCCACTCCACCCAGGGAGTAGTCCACTCTCTACACTTGAATAAACTTGCTTTCATTCTCCCTCCATGGCTTGCTCTCAAATTCTTTTCTATGCAAAACCAAGAATTTTCACATCCCAGGTAGAGACCCCCACAGGCCGAGTCTTTCTGGCAACAACAATACTTCTAATAAAATAGGAAAAAAATGAAGGGGCTGATGCCCAACTTACAGGTTCTTGAAGTTTTTCAGTGGGGGCAGAGGAGTCTTCGTTACGGGATTGGAGTAGGCTGAAGCAACATTCTGCAATCACCATGATCAGGAGAAAGAGGAAAGCCATAAGTCAGACCAACACATGTCACTGTAGGATGCAAAGGAAAAGGGAAAAAAAAAATGCAGGAAAGAAAGTATCGCCACGTTCTAAAATTTTAAGGGGAATGCCGCAGGGAAGGAGCTTGTGTTTTGCTTATAACGCACAACCTTGTCTTCTGCCTGGCCTGGGATAGCCTAGTGTCCAGGATATCCTGACATGGGAAACTTCTTTATGTGGCAGGCACCCTAATGGCTTTTAAGTGCCCATCTCATGCCCACACAAGTGTGGCTTTTTGGTTGGTAAAGGAGAGAAAATGAGACAGAAAAGAGGAGACTCTTACCCCTAAGGGCTTAAGGCCTTAAGCCAGAGGTGTTTTCTAGCCATATATGACAGTTGCCCAAGTGAAGAACTATCAAGCCCACCCAGGTTGGCCCACTGTGGCCGAGACCCAAGGGAAATGATCATGAAAATGATAAAGAGGGTAAGAAACAGAGTAGAGGGGTTCCCCAGTTAGGGGCTTACCTCCTGGCTGGGCTCACCTCAATATATGTTGTGGGATGGCTGTGCAGATTCTTCGTGTTTTGCACAAAGAACCGAACAGAATACACCAGTAGTGAAAGTAACAGATAGTTTATTAAGAGCGAAATTACACTCCTGAAAAGTAGGATCGACCTCGAGCACAAAAAGGAAAGAGCAGCTCAAAACGCCCTGTAATTGCTTTCCACGAGGCTTATAATGTTTAACCGGTTGATCATTGGCTGGGCTCACTAACTGCTTTCTTCCCATTGGCTATGTAGTAACTGTGGCTGGGCCCACTGATTGATCACATGAGCTGTATCAGCTGTGGCTGGGCCCACTGATTCATCTCATTAGTTATATCAAGGGTGGCTGGGCCCACTGATTTATCTCATTGGCTGTCAGACATCCCCCACTGAAAATCTCCTATCCACGTGACCTTGAGTGGGGAATTTTCTGCCCTGATGGATTTTTCTAACTAACCACATAGACGGATGCTCCAGCCCCTTTACCCACTTCCATTTTCCAAATTTCTTCCTACCTCAGGCCCAACATTTATGCAAGAAAAAGCAACAACTTCAATGGCAGCATTTTGCTAATGTGGGGTCAGGGTCTAAATTTTATTAGGTTTTTGATAAGGTCAGGTGCAGCATAACAAAATTTTTTGTTGTTGTCTTTTAAGTGTTTGCCATAGGGTGCATGTGCTCACCAGAGAGCAATAGAGAGAGGGAAAGTGAGAACTCACCCCCCCTCAAGGGGTATGACCATGCCACAATCTGTTCTCCTCTATTTCTCTTGGGATTTGGGGCGCACATGCATAGGTGCTGGTGTAATTTTCAAGCTGCTGGGTCTGGAACTCAAACTATGGTCAGCCATATGGGAGTCCAACATCTTAACTACTATGCCACCTAGTGGCCCAGGGCAAAACAGATTT